GTGACTGCCTGAGAGTATGACTGTCAAAAGACACACCGCTGGGGGCCATCTGAGAGACCGGTAACCACACCCACCGAGAATAAAAATCAGAATCCATAGCCAAAATTAGATTTCTACCATAAAAAAAAATAATGCACACAAAACAATGTTAAGCAATTCCAGCTGACCTGAAGGCTCTTCTCCTGACATCTCGTCTCCCTTCTTTACAAAAGGAATTTACCAAGTAGCAGAAGACAGCAATGGCAGTGTCTCATCATCTCATCAAAAGCATTGACAGGGAGGGACTTTTAGTGGTACTTGTCCGTGCCCTGTAAAACAGTAACCACTAGCCAACGCGCCCCCTGTTATAGAGAAGACACCCAGAGACTTACCCAACTTCCCATAACCAGACAGAACTGATTTTAGTTTATGAAGGTACACGGCCCCCAGTCCTGTAGCTCAGATCCCTAACTGTGCTCAAGACACACCTGGGGGAAAAATCATTAGCATAACATGTACGTTCTCATCTTTTGCTTACATATCTATCAAGCATTGCAACTTCTCCTGTGGAGAGTAGTGAGCCATTTCTTCAGTTGTCCTTTCTCGTCGCTGCAGGACAACAATTCAGGGACGTTCCTCTGGTAGAATTGCTTTGTAACTGCTCCAGCGATGATGGCATCTGTTGTTCCTATTTAAACTTTATAGAGGACAGAATTATGGGGTTAATGCTGCCAATCCATATCCAAGTCGAGAGGCTAGGAAACGTACACGTAATACAGAGAGGAATTGAAACAGCTGGTACCGACATTTGGCATTGGAGCACGACTCTGGAACACAGCGGAATTGTAGGCCAGCAGTCAACTCTGCGGCCTGCCCTCACAAAGAACTGAACCTGATACTGTTAACCAGCTCCCCAAAACGAGCGCTTACGAGCAGCACTGTGACTTACCATACTAGGAACAAGAAAAATACAGTATGTTTTCATCCAAGTCAAGGGTAGGGTTGTCCTATGCCTCAAGGGTCTTTTCCCAAAAGTCTGATCTACGTATATTCCGTTGAACAAATTCATAGTTATGATCTTGTTCTCTCTTCCTGGAGTATGATCTGTTTGAGAAGAGAGACGCCCCGAAGTCTTCTGAAGACCGTCCCCTCTGGTACCGTGGGCGTGAACTCCTCATTATCTACTCTAGCTGCGGGACGTGCCGGCCTCCTGGAGGCGGCGCCTTCCGTGTCTGCCAGGCTAGCGGATCCTCCGATCGTTCTCTTCAACAAAAGAAAACTACAAAGATGGATTTGGGAGGTGGGGTCCAGGAGTGGGAGGGAGGGGATTGGAACACTTTCCTTCTTTTCCTTTTAAACTTTCCTTCACATTTTTTGCCAGGTGACAACTGCACCTTAACCTCTTAACACATCACTGAATACTGTGTGCCAAAAGATTTTAAGCAGTAGCGACCCTTCATATTTACATTTTACTGTCTGAAATAATGATCCAATATCCCTAAGATACAGTTGTTCAGTTTGCCAAGTCTGATGCACCCGGCAGCCTTAACGTTCAAGATTCAGTGCTCACCTATCATTTCATTCAGTATTTGCAGGGCAGAACACACTTTGTGGGCATATGGTGACATCATGTTGAACTAAAGTCATTTTCCCTTTAGGAGTCTCCTAATATTTTTAAACCAGTTTCCTCTGTCAGTCCGCCTTCACATTAGGTCTGAAGTCATAATAAAATAGTCATTACACAGATACTCTAACTTTCGTTAAAAAGAAGAAACTGTTGAAAGCACCATTGAAAGAACCATTTACCCACAAAGAGGATCCGTGCGGTGGGTAGTGACTGGACAGGGGCAGGAAGAGGGTTTGTGGGGTACTGTTGTTGATCCGAGAGCTGATAAATGTGCAAGCGTCCCGTCTGTCACAATTTGGCAGGCGGTACGCTAACGATTTCTGCCCATTTCTATATGTATACTGCAGACGAGTTTTTTAGTAAACTCTGTCGAACAGAATAAGAAAGACTTCTTAGGTTGACCCCTCCACTTTGTAACGGATGTAAAGGTACACTGTCTCTTCCTTCATCAGTGCCTTTCACCCTTGTCTATGTTCCACCCAGAACAAAAATACAAAGCCTGCCCATGAAAATATTCTTTTAGACCTCTTACATTTTAACAGTGTCTTCCTTTCCCATTTAGGACAGCACAATTACCTTTGTGCTGGAAGAAATGATTGTATCATCGATAAAATTCGAAGGAAAAACTGCCCCGCCTGCCGCTATAGAAAATGTCTTCAAGCTGGAATGAACCTGGAAGGTAATCTTAAGTATCCAAAAGGAATTCTCTCTGCATCCGATAAAAATGCATCGTTTTCCTTTTTAAAATCTAAAAGATGAAGTATTGACGAGTAGAAATTTTTAAATCAGTCTTTCATGATCTGCTCAAATGTACTCACCCCCTCTTACTACACACAGTGAATTCAGTATAGCCACACCATAGACTAAGAAAGAAAATTACGTCACCATGAACTTTAGAGTATTTTAAGCAGCATTACTTTTATCTTACTCCTTTTCTCAACGTCAGAACTATTTCCTAGGGTTACAAATGCTGCTCAGATGTTTTTCCATGTCCACTTTTCTGTTATTACCTTTCACTTGACATAGGTGTATGTATGTGCTGTGTGTATGTGATTTCTTACAGATCGGTCGCGGGGAGGGACTCCTCAAGGACACATTGGATACTTTTGTTTTTTGAGTAAAGAAGGAATCTGAAACGACTTCTAAGTTTATTTCACATTCTTATTCATATAGCACATCATATAGTTCACATTCACCTCGTCATTTCAAATCTTTTCTCTGGAATAAAAAAAGTGTGGAATTTTGCTTCAGTTGAAATTCTGTCAAAGTGGGGGTGCCTTATAACCCGTGTGCATTTTGATTCAGCAGATACTCACCAACAAGGTGGACACTAGACATGAAATGACAAACAGTGTCTGTATTTAAAATCAATAAGATAGCACCTGTATCCAAGGAGCTGACCATCTAGTTGGGCTGCAGTCAATCACAAAACAGCACGTACAGCACACTACAGAAGGAATAGAGCAACAACGAGGCGAGGGTCACCGCATTCTGTCCCGAAGGGCGGGGAAGATTCCTGCAAGAAGCAACATTGCATTTTAAATTTAGAAAAGCCGAGTGGGAGTTAGGTGGAAAATCAAGGCAGAGACATGATCAGATTGGTGCTTTCGAAAGACTCATCTTGCATATGCCGATATTACAGGGAGAATAGAAACCGTGTTGTTCTTTCGATAGGAGAGACTAACTGTTGGTGCTATTTAGCACGCGTGTATGTTTTTAACTATTAAGTAGATTCACGGGTGTGAATACAGTCTTAACTCCCCAAGCCACACACACATGATCTTCTCACTTCATCCTATTACTTGGATAGCAAAAGAGACAAATGAAATTAGTCTTTTCTTTACCATGTTTACAGACAGTCATGGCACCATCACCTAACCCAGTTTCTTCTAAGAATGCCTAGGTTGCTTGAACTTGACTGCAACAGCGCCAGCCTGTATCCCTACTACAGTGCGGCTGCTTACCCAGTGACATTTTTAGACGCTACCGGTCAACTACCCGTCAAGCTTCACGTTCATCTTTGGAGCTTTAAACATGTAATGCTCTTTTGCGCTGTTCCTCGTCTATCCAAAGTATGAGGGAATTTTTTTATTCAACAGAAATAAGATGCATCAACGATGAAGCACTGATTCTGATGGCCTAACTTTCTCCCATTTCTCTTCCCTCTTACAATTCAGTAACAGTTGTAGTGCCCTTGGCCTTCACCTCACTCGAAGACCAAGGCAGTGAATGGCATCTCTGTTTTCTCTGTATGATCGAGTGTATCATCACTGCCATTTCTAATCAGATCTTCGCTTGAAAAGTCACCTTTTTTGAATGAATAAAATTTAAACGTACCACTTAAACTGAGATGCAATGTCTCAAAACACTACTAAAAATAACCACACTGCATGCTTTTCTAAGGTCTCCTGTAAAATATCAGACATTGGGCAAACGAGCCTTTGTCAAGAGCTACAACATGCTAGTCTTTGTTATACCTTCTATTCAAAGAGGTTATTTGGGACCCTCAAATAAAAAACACTCTCCAGTAGGGCCAAGGTTAACCTTATGTCCACTTACACTACACAGTTTGTCATTATAATCATGTATTAGATATTAGGTAGCACCTATCATGCCGTTCATAATGTCATTCTACTTGTAGAAAAATTTAAAGAAAGCCGTCTTTTAAAAAAAATCTAAGTTAATAGACTTTTTATATATGTGTTTCCAGTGTGGAAGCCTCATTTTTTAAAAAAGTTATTCCAGTAATATATAAAACCTTTCTTTGAAGTCTATGTGTGTCCCAGAAATACTTGATGGGCCATAATACTTAAGTATGAAACACATGGCTCATCTATATTCTTCTTCTTATTTTAAAAAAAAACATTTTAAAATGTTCTTATTCGCTCAAGTCTTTGCCTAAGCGAAGCAGCTTCATGACATCCCCAGAGTAATTTTGCAGAAGCCATCAACTCTCTCAGAGCAGTTCTCTCCACAAATCTAATTTAGCACTGCAAGTGGTGCATTTTGATACTGTTGCTCCATACCAAGTCATTCTCAAGATTGATTTCAAGGCAGTCTTCTTCACTGCTCAGAATGCCTGCCATTTGCATACACTGACTTTCTTCATGGAGATCCTAAATGTTTTATTCTTCTTTCATTTTAAGGTATACTGTAATCATTCCCAATTACAACTTTATTTTTGCCATCAAGAGCTAAGTGGAACTTACAGGCAAGGAGCCTTATGGTATTATTGCATTTCCTAACTGATATTTAAGCTAAGTTTTAAACCAAGATGACTTTACTTCTATTAAAAATAAAATGGAGCTATCACAGACTCCTATACAGAACATGTATTGACTGCGCATCCTTATGGTCCAACCAGAACTTCATTTACAGTAAAATCTCATCAACTAAGTTGCTTTAAAATAGTTATTGTTTAACTAATTCAATTCTTGCCAAGTTATGTGAAAATCTGTTAGTACCTTTTCTTGCTCTACTCTGCTTTACACAATTGGACTCACCAGTGCTGCTTAGCTTAATTCAAAACAACCAGTTCTTTCTCTAAGGACTATAGATAAACAGTAAGAGACTTTACTGTATAGTAAGGATAAGAAAAGACTTCAAAGTATGCCATCTTGTCTGTGTCCTTCTCTTTTCTAATCTGCAGTGTAGGAACGTATGTTCTAAACAAATTGCAAACTTACGGTTCATTGAGATTTTTACAATATCGCTGCAGTGCATTCATTTGGGACATGCATGTCCTTGTTAACTTGTCAAAGTTCATATCATGATTTTGACATCTGGGTGTCACTGAGACACCTTTGCTTGTTGAGACGATTTCTTTATGTAAAGGAGCTCTTCCTTTTTTAAAGCTTTGTCACTCCTCTACAGACTCGGACTATGCCAATTCGAAATACTCCACAACCGTACTTCACCACCAGTTGAGGCAAGCGTCAGTCTTGTATAGCACTTAACGTGTGCCAGGAACACTTCTGTCCATTGACTTAATTCTGGACAGACCCTAAGAAGTAGGTACTAACAGTATGCTCACTGTACAGAAGAAGCAATCAAGGTCCACGCAGTAATTTGCACAGATATCCAACTACTGAAATGGCAGAGCCAGGATTTAAATTCAGACGTGCTGCTTTCCTACTCAAGCTCTCTTTACTACCGTACCATACTTTCTCTTCTACAGAACACAGTAAAATAAATGATCATGATCCTTTTTCTCTCCTTTCAAGTGGTAACTGAAAGTTCTTCAATGTGGCAGCAGAGAGCGCAGTAAGAAATGGGACCGTTCTACTCAATGTAAACAACAGACATCCCCCCTCCCTAACACTGGACATTGAGATGTATAGTTCTCACCACTGCATCTGTCCTCCACTAACTGCAGTTGGTCATTTTAGGGACAGAGCATCTAATAATGATTCTAAAAGGTAATTTGCATTCACTTTCCCCTTAGCAAGAGGGTTTGCCTACCTCACACCAGAAGACAGGTGCATTTCTTCTTAAAGGTCAGTTAGACTCCTCGCCCTTCCTTGCAGCTCTGAACACTTTCTTTTCAGACGACTGTAATTCTTTGCTGGCTTCAGCACATCAACTAACAAGGAATAATACTTTTGTCACTGGAACCAATTATAACAAGTATTCCTTAAAAATCTACAGAATCCTTGTTGTCATTTGATTATACTGTTCCAAACTCAGTCAAAAATAAAAGATAACTTTAGTGACTTTTTACATACTATGAAAATAGGTAATTTTACATTTACAGAGTCATCGATAAAAATCTTAGAGGACAGAAAGTACCCACTAGTGATTTATATAAAGAAATGCAAAGCTTTTCTTTTCCTCTGCACAGAGGTTTTCAAGTCCCATATAATATCCATCATAAAAATGTAAGAAGTGGACTTTTTGCTGTTAGAACTAATACTATTTTTAGCCTGTGATCTGCTGTGTCATCTCAGCATCTTGATAGAAAGGGGACTTTGTGCAAGGCTGTAGGGAGTATCACTCTCTTCATTATACTTATTACCATAATTCAGATTAACCCTAAGCCACATGACCTACTGATGCGGTATTACAAACAAGATTCTTTCGATTAACAGTCAAAGTAATTTGCCTTGTGTAGGTAATGACCATTTTGACTTTGCAAGGTAACAGAAGATTTATGGAAGAATACATAGAAGTAATTTGTTTAAATTGTTTTAACACACTGTTCTAAGACAATTCTGCATAACTGTCATGAAGTAACTGGCTTATCGGAAAAGGAAATCAAATGCATGGGTTCCTCTTGATCCTTTGCTTTCAAGGAAAAAATTTATTTCTCTTTTCTCCCATGTCACTTTATCATCATTGCTATATAAAAGATTTCTCCTCTTTCCATCTCAATAGTTTCAGAAGTTAAAATACTTCTTAAATAAACTGTACCACCCAGACCTTCCCATGGCAACTCGTTTCTGTGGTTTTTTTTTTTTAATACACACAGCTCGAAAAACAAAGAAGAAGATAAAAGGAATTCAGCAGGCCACTACAGGAGTCTCACCAGACACTTCTGAAAACCCTGCTAACAAAACAATAGTTCCTACAAC